GGTTTCCAAGCTGAGCCAGGCTGGCTCAGGAATTCTGGGAGTTGAAGTCCACGAGTCATGAGGGGCCATAGTTCCCTCATGCTGGCTCAGGAATTCTGGGAGTTGAAGTCCACCAGTCATAAAAGAGCGAAGGTTGCCTACCCTTGCTCTAGGGCAGTGGTTCTCAACCTGTGGGTCAGGACCCCATTTGGGGTCGAACGACCATTTCACGGGGGTCGCCAAACAACGCAGTCCGCCATTTTTTCCCCCTTTTCCTTAGCTGTGCTACTCCCTTTTATTCTATTGGCTTTTGAAAGCCAATAGAAGAGACTCTCTTGAATAGAGCCTAATTCTATTGGCTTTCAAAAGCCAATAGGAATTGTCCAGGCTGTCTCTGCCCTGCTGAGCCCGCCAAAAGTCCCAGTCTGCAAACGGTGCTGCATCAGTTGAGTAGTCCTCGACTTACGACCGGTTGGGGGTCGCCGCATTAAAAAGGTTGAGAACCACTGCTCTAGGGCAATAAAATAATGGAGGCGTAAAGGGAGATTTTAAATTGGCACCTGGATTGATGGCCATACTTAGGATGGGAAAGAGACACAGGAAGCATGTGAGAGTACTGGGCCCCACTAAGGTGCATGTCTTAGTAGCCGCCATGATAGAAAAGCACAACTATTAAAGAATTTTTCCTTCCTTCCTTCCTTTTGTCCATAACTGCATGGACAAATCAGATTTTTGGAAGCGCTTTGCCACTTGCTTGCTTCCTAGGGCTGGAACCTAATGTGGGGCTAGAACTTACGGTCTCCTAGTAATTGACCCAATATCACTCAACTGGCTTTCCTGCCGATGCCTGGACTAGCACTCGCCATCTCCTGGTGATTGGTCCCCTGTCAGCCAGCTGGCTTTTTTGCCTAAGACGGGACCAGAATTCACCGTCTCCTGGTGATTGGCCCAAAGTCAGCCATACGATTTTCATGATTTAGGCAGGACTAGAACTCACCATCTCCTGGCGATTGGCTCAAAGTCAGCCATACGATTTTCATGATTTAGTTAGGTCTAGAACTCACCGTCTCCTGCTGATTGGCCCAAAGTCAGCCAGACAATCTTCATGACTTAGACAGGACTAGAATTCACAGTCTCCCAATTTCTAGCCTGATACCTTAATCGCTGCACCAAACTGGCGCTCGTATTTTGCAATTCCGATGCAAAACGTTACACTGGAAAACCACTAGCTACGCCAAGTGACTTTCATGCCTTTTGTCTGCCCCATCCTGTCTCAAGCGCCTCCCTTCCCCCCACATTGATCTCCAAAGCTCCCAAAATGGATCTTTTGAAGTGTCTTGAGATGCAAGGTGGATTTAACAAAGAGTGACATCACTTGGAAGTTCTTGAAAATTTCCCACCCTGTCATTTCTCTCGTCTAAAAGCTGCACCACGTTTCCTGAAAGCCCTCATAGACTGCCATCCGCCACACTGATTACTTTCCAAAAGCAGCTTGCATTTCAGTACCAAAAAACGTATTTGTTTTTTTCCCCTCTCCCTCTTGCCATGTGCTTTTTTCTTAAGGGTAACTTTCCAAACAAATTCCTTCGTTTTTTAATCTGCAGGGAGACCCACAGCCCTTTTCTGCTCGTTTCTTAGCAAAAGACTCACTTTTGAAAGCAGAAAAATAAATAATCCTGTTTTGTCTCATGTTTGCTTTTTAAGAGTTTTTTTTTCTTCCTGTCTTTGTGGAGAGTGACGAGTTTTGACTTGATAGAGCCAAGAATCCCTCAAATTTATGTTCCATCCAAAATAGTTTGTACAGAAGTTCCCTTTTCCTGAATTCAGTGCTCTTATTTCCTAGAAAATACTACTGTTGGGAGGGAGCTATTTCCAGGCTCACATGATGCTAAATTCCAGTTTGTTTACCTACAGCAGGGCTCTTCAAATTTGGCTGCTTTAAGACTTGTGGACTTAAACTTCCAGAATTCCTCAGCCAGCGTGCCTGGCTGAGGAATTCTGGGAGTTGAAGTCCACAAGTCTTAAAGCAGCCAAGTTTGGAGACCCCTGACCTATAGCTTGTTGAATAAGCTACTGTTAAGTCAGGCTTTCACAGCGTACCAGGCCCTAAATTGGGCCTGCAAACTACGATGGCCCGTTTGCCAAAATATCCCAGGACAGACAGTCCTCAACTTATGACTACACTTGCTGCCCAAAATTTTCATTGCTAAGCAAGACAGTTGAATGAATTTTGCTCCATTTTACGACTTTTCTTGTCGTTAAGTGAATCACCACACTTGTTAAGTTAGTCACATGATTGTAAAGTGAATCTGGCTTCCTCGTGGACTTTGCTTGTCATGAAAGGGGATCACATGATCCCGGGACACTGCAACCGTCATAATTACAAGTCAGTTTCCAAACGTCTGAATTTTAATCACGTCACCCCTTAGGATGCTGCAACAATGATAAGTGTGAAAAACTGTCATAAGTCAGTTTTTTCAGTGCTGGTTGTAACTTCGAACGAATGCGTGTAATTTGAGGACTATCTGTCTAGCGTCCTGTGTGAACCTGGCTATTCATGGCATAAAGTTAGATGTTAGGTACTAAAATGCCACTGTTTGTGCATTTCCCTCTGTGTGTGCCCTCTCCTACTTTTGTAAGTTTTAGTATGTTTCTCGTAATTTGTCCGTTTCACTGATAGTTACCTACTTTTCAAACAGACAGCTACTTAAAGTTACAATGGCCAAAACATCTTAGGGAGATATCTACGCGAGTGAGATTCGAACAGCTTGATACAATGATCAGATATGGGAGATTCCATTCTATACCATAATGATGGACATATTTGCATTTCCGGAGCAGTAGAGGTTGAAAACTTGGCTCACGTACTATTTGATTGTTATTTGTATAAAGGGTGAGACACAGATATCTTGGTTCATACATTTCCTTGTTCCATTCTGGGAGGAGGGGGCTCCGTGGCATCCAAAGCAAAACATCCAAATTCAATCACAGTTTTGTTCCATACAGTATCAACCTTATAAACTCTCAAGCTTCCTCCTTCCATTATGTATTCAAAATGGACAGCAATTAATATTTATATGTTACTTATATGTAAGGGTGTAGGTCTATACCTGTGTTGTATATAGTATGTTTTAAATATGTTTTATGTATATGTACACTTTGAGAGGAAGCAACTAAATTTCATTTTTAATGTGTGCCATTGTGCCCACAGGAAAAAAATGGCAATAAAGGTTATCTAATCTAACCCAATCTAAAAATTAAACAAATGACCTATTGGGAACCCCATATTAAAACAACATATCTTATGGGCAACGAGAATTTGAAAACAACACTTAACAGAGGAAGTACTTGAGTAAAATGGTACAGATAAGATTGGCATATGTGTGACTGATTGGGGTAGATTGCAGGGGTGATACTGAAATATAATTTTATCTTGTTTTACTTGTCTGTATCTTAAAGTATTGTATGTTACTCCAATTTCCATTTTAAATTGTTTTTATAGGATTTTATTAATACGTTTGGAACTCTGTATCTTGATATGGCCCATGGGCTAATCAATAAACTAAACTAACTGATAGTTACTACTTCAGCCTGGAGAATTCTAGGAGTTGAGGTCCGCCCATCTTAAAGCTGCCAAGGTTGTGAGTTTTAGACTGTTATCTTCTTTAAATCGAAAAACAGGAGGGATCTCACTCTTTGCGATGAAGATCCTTTAAGGAGAAGTTGTATTTTTGTTTGGACCCTGTGTCTGTGTCTCTTTTTGTGCTTTGCAAGCCACTCAAAAAACAGAACTGTCATCCTTACCCCAATTATGCCTTAGACAGCACCCTCCAGATGTTGAACCATTGCAATGCCCCTCATCCCCCCCCCTCGGGTGAGAGGTCCCAGCTGCGCACATCTGGAGGACAGTGAATCCCTTGAGAGAAATCTTTCTGCCTTGTTGGGGGGGGGAGAGGAAGAGAGGGAGGGAGGAAGAGAGAGGAAGACTGGATAACCATTTGACCAAGATTATATGAGATAATTAGAATAGAATAGAATAGAATAGAATAGAATAGAATAGAATAGAATAGAATAGAATAGAATAGAATAGAATAGAATAGAATAGAATAGAAGATAGGAAATGGAATGGAATAGAATAGAATAGAATAGAAGATAGGAAATGGAATGGAATGGAATAGAATAGAATAGAATAGAATAGAATAGAATAGAAATAGAATATGGAGTGGAATAGAATAGAATAGAATAGAATAGAATAGAATAGAATAGAATAGAATAGAAATAGAATACGGAGTGGAATAGAATAGAATACGGAATACGGAATAGAATAGAATAGAAGACGGGACGGGACGGGGCGGGATGGGATAGAATAGAATAGAATAGAATAGAATAGAATAACAGAGTTGGAAGGGACCCTGTAGGTCATCTAGTCCAACCCCCCATTCAAGCAGGAGACCTTACACCAGTGGTTCTCAACCTTTCTTATGCCGCGACCCCATAATATAGTTCCCCATGTTGTGGTGACCCCCAACCACTTATTCATCACCGGGTACCAGGGACGTGGCCAAAGAAAAGGGGGGGAAAATGGCAGACAGCCTTGTTTGGCGACCCCCGTGAAATGGTCGTTGGACCCCAAATGGGGTCTCGACCCCACGTTGAGAACCACTGCCTTACACCATTTCTGACCGATGGCAGCCCAGTCTCTTCTGGAAAGCTTCCAGCGACGAAGCTCCCACGATTTCTGAAAGCAATCTGTCCCATTGGTTGATTGATCTCCTGCCTTGAGCAGGGGGTCGGACTAGAAGACCTCCAAGGTCTTTTCCAGCCCTACGATTCTATCTTGGTTCTTGCGCCCGCGGGCGCACCTCGGTTCAGCCAGCCGCCGGGCGGGGGCAGCAGCGGGAAGCGAAAGAATCCCGCCGCCCCTCCCAGCGGTTGCCGGGGGGGGGGGAAGGGAGGGGGGGAAAAAGAGAGAGGGGCGGGGCGGGGCCATTCCCGTGACGTCACAGTGCCGGCCGGCTCATAGAAAAAGCTGCGCAAGGGCGGCCGCGCTTCATTTCTCCAGCCACGCCGACCCGGTTCAGGTCCAGCCTCAGAGCTTAGCCGAGGACCCGGCGCGCCCCCTTACCTCGTTTCGGACCAGGCATTTCGCCAAGCCCGGCCTTTGGGATTGAAGCGGGGGGGGGGCTTTTTCTTCCGTCCGGGACAGGAGTTTGGAGAACCCCCGATTTAGGGTCGGCTTTGGGGGGGCTGCACCCTCCGCCCGGCCCCCAGCCTCGCTCAGAGTCCCTCCGACGCCCCATTGCAAAAGACAGCGATCCGCAGGGCGGGGGGGGGGGGAGAAAAAAAAACCCAGCACCCCGACCGATCCAAGCTCCCCCCGCTCTCCCGCCGCCTCCTTTTGTGTGCTTCCCTCCCCGCCGATCCCGCGTCCCGCATCCGCAACGAAGGTGGAGCCGGAGCGCGGCGACACCTGGCTCGCCAAGATGCCCATGGAGCTGACGCAGAGCCGGATCCAGAAGATTTGGCTGCCGCCGGACAATCATCCCACGCTGCCGCGCCGATGTGAGTCCGGAGCGGGGCGGGGGGAGGCTCGGGAGAAAGAGCCGGGGGGGGGGAGAGAGAATCCGGGCCGGATCGGGCCGCAGCGATGGGCGGAAGAGATGCCCGCCTTTGCAAGCAAGGGTGGAGAAGGCGGGGAGGGAAAACCACCAACCCATCCCGGGGGGGGGGGGCGCGCAGATGGCCGGGAATAAAACGCCGATGGATCCGCGGGAAAGGGGGAAGCCGATCCCGGCGGGCGGGCAGGGAGGCAGGCAGGCAGGCTGGGCCGGCGGGGATCCGGGCATCTCGGGGCGCGGCGATGCCCAAGCGCGGCGGGCGGACGGACGGAGCAGCTCCGCTGCCGCTGCAGCGTCTCCAGCGGCCGCTTCCTTAGCGAGGCTGCTGCCACCCCGACGCGTGCTTGGTTTTTTTTTTTTTTTTTTTTCCTCCCGGTTGCACAGCTTCGCCGCCGGATCTTTCGGCTGGAGCCCGGGCGCTGCAGCGAGCGCTTGCAGCCCAGCCCGGGCGGATCCTTGGTGGCGGAGCGGTCCCTCTTTCTCTCTCTCCCTCCCTCTTTCTCCCTCCCTCTCTCTCTCCCTCCCTCTCTCTCCCTCCCCCCTCTCCATCTCTCCCTCTCTCTCCCTCCCTCTCTCTCTCTCTCCCCCTCCCTTTCTCTCTCTCTCTCCCTCTCTCTCCCTCCCTCTTTCTCCCTCCCTCTCTCTCTCCCTCTCTCTCTCTCCCTCCCTCTCCATCTCTCTCTCTCCCTCCCCTCCTCTCCCCTCCCTTTCTCTCTCCTCTCCCTCTCTCTCTCTCTCCCTCCTTCTCTCTCTCCCTCCCCCCCTCTCTCTCTCTCCCTCCCTCTCTCTCTCTCTCTCTCTCTCTCTCCCTCTCTCCATCTCTCTCTCCCTCTCTCCATCTCTCTCTCTCCCTCCATCCCGGCTGCGAAGGAGCTTGGATAGGCGGCGGTGGTGGCGATGCCGGGCATGGCACGCAGCGCATGGCGGAGGGGCGGGTCTTTGCGAGCTGCACGCGCGGGTGGGGGCGGGGGCGGGGGGCGGTGCCGGCGGGCTTCCCCAACCGGCGCCCTCCCAGCCCCTCGCGCTGGAGCGCTCCTCATCAAGCGGGGGGTCCCTGGCGCTCTCTGAGCTTGGGGGGGGGGGTTTCCTTGCCGACGTTTCGTGCGCCGACTAGGTGGGCTGGTCAGGGCTAGAAGGGAGTAGGGTTTGAGGAAGGGAGAAGGAATGAAAGGAGAGAAGGAGAAAGGAAAAAAAAGGAGAAGTGTGGGATCCATGGGGGTCTCTCAGCTTGGTGGTTTTCTTGCAGACGCTTGATGATGCAGCTAGGGTGGGTAACATCATGGGGTTAGAAGGGCATCTGGTTTAAGGAAGATTAGAGGAGGGAGAAGGAAGGAGAGAAGGAGAAAGAGGGAGAAGGAGAAGTGGTGCTCTCTGAGCTTGGTGGTTTTCTTGCAGATGTTTTGTCGTGACCCAACTAGGTAACATCATCGAGTGCTAGAAGGGTTTAAGAAGTAAGGGGGGAAAGAAGGAGAAGAGGAAGAAAGAAGGAATGAAGGGGGAGAAAGAGGAATGATTTAAGGAGTGAAGGAGAAGAGGAAGAAAGAAGGAATGAAGGGGGAGAAAGAGGAATGATTTAAGGAGTGAAGGAGAAGGGGGAGAAAGAGGAATGATTTAAGGAGTGAAGGAGAAGAGAAGGAGAAGAGGAAGAAAGAAGGAATGAGGGGGAGAAAGGAATGATTTAAGGAGTGAAGGAGAAGAGAAGGAGAAGAGGAAGAAAGGATTGAAGTGGAGAAAGAGGAATGATTTAAGGAGTGAAGGGGAAGAGAAGAGGAAGAAAGAAGGAATGAAGGAGGAAGAAAGAGAGAAGAAGGAGAAGAACTGTGGAGTCCTTGGTGCTCTCTGAGCTTGGTGGTTTCATTGCAGACTTTTTATGACCCAACTAAGTAACCTCATCAGTGCTAGAAGAGAATACCGTTTAAGGAAGAGAAGAGAAAGGGAGAAGAAGAAGGAGAAAGAAAGGGAGAAGGAGGAGGAGGAGAACTGTGGGGCCCTTGGGGCTGTCTCAGCTTGGTGGTTTTCTTGCAAATGCATCATAACTAGGTAACATCATTGCTAGTTTGGGTAATGAAACGTCTGCAAGAAAACCACCCAGTTCAGAGAAGGAAGTGCTACTAGTCCCTGGACGTGGTTGTGGCGATCACCCCTTTGGGTCAGTGCTTTCAGACTGAGCAAACCACTGGCAGCTGTGGAGCACCCACCCATCCCGGCTCCTGTTCCGTCCCACACTTCGTCTCCTGGGTGGTCAAGTTTTGGGAAGATGCCCTGCAGCCTGAAAGAGCTATCCATGGGCGAAGGGGGGGTGGGTTGCCTTGCCGTGTTGCCCCTCCCACCGTCTGCCTTCCCCCACTGGCTTGATTCTGAGCCCCTTAACTACAAGTAGTCCTTCACTTGTGACCACATCTGAGCCCAACATTGCTGCCGCTAAAGCAAGGCGGTGGTCCAGTTTTGCCCGCTTGGATGACCTTTTGGCCATGGTCGTTAAGCAAATCAGCACAGTGACTGCTTTGTAATTTGGGTGCCACTTTTTCTGCCCTGTGCCTTTATGACCCCCTTGGCTGCCAGGAAAGTGAGCCAGGTGGAACTTTTGCTGTCAGGCGATATGGCCCACCTATTTATTTTCTTGGATCCAGCTGTGAAAACTTCCAGCAGGATTAGATAACTCACAGCAGTTGGCTATACAGTCCGATTAAAGGGATTAAAGGGCGAGGATTCTGGGCTGACATGGCTTAATTTATCCTACCTTTGCCCAGACTTTTATCTACAGGGAAGCTGCTTTCACTAATAATGAAATTAAACAACTGCCTAGCGTGCAAACTGCCCAGGTTCAAATCCCATAAAGGGTGTGGCTAACTGAAGAGAGCAAATGAGCTTGAAATGGCCATCTTAGTCTCCCAATTTAATTCTTTAACTCTTTGTCAGAAAAAGAAATTTGGATATTTATTTATTTACCTTGAGTGTTTTTTGATGCACCCTGTCGGCCCAAATATGGGAGAAAGAAATCTTTCTTTCTTTCTTTCTTTCTTTCTTTCTTTCTTTCTTTCTTTCTTTCTTTCTTTCTTTCTTTCTTTCTTTCTATAGAGGGGGGGGGGATGTGCTGCCTCTGGCTTCGCCAAGCAGCTTTGAAGGATTGATTTGTTTGTATACTTGTAGAAGAGAAACAGAATGTTTCAATTTAAAAACAAAAAACAAAAATATTAATAAATACTATAGCATTCTCCGGGTAAGCATCATCTGAAATATTTGAACCTAAAGGCTTAGAATTTATGGTTGTTTTTGAGTGATAGATGTTGATTACAGTTATTCCACATTCCTTTAGCGAGCACTCAAAAGTTACAACGGCACTGGAAAAAAAGGGGCTTATGAACCGTGTTTCACACTTACGACCGTTGCAAAATCCCTGTGGTCACGAGATCAAAATTCAGACGTTGGCAACTGACTCATATTTATGACAGTTGCAGAGTCTTGAGGTCATGTGATCCTCTTTTGTGACCTTCCGGCAAGCAATAAATCTGTGTATTTATAAGGTACAGAACATTTACTGTACAGATTTATATATATCTTGTACATGCCGAGCCTGTTTCAGCCAAAAGTTAGTTAATGATCATAATAAAGACTGATTGAGCCATAAATGGTCTGGGTGAGAGAGGGAGGGAGAGAGAGAAAGAAAGAGGAAGATGCTGAAAGGTGACATCTCCAGGTTAGAAGACTCAAAGGATCACCTTCCTGGAGAAATGATGACATTTTTACAGTATTTTGTATTCCAGAAAATCGCCATATACGGTAGTTCTCAACTTACAGCCACCACCTCAAAATTTCTATTGCAAGAGGACAGTTCTTGAGTTTTGCCCCATTTTACTCTCTGGCCACAGTCGTTAAGCGAATCACTGCAGTTGAGTTAGTAATACGGTTGTAAAGTGAGCCTGGCTTCCTCGTCTTTCAGAAAGTGACAAAAGGGGATCACCCATGACCCCCCGGGGACACTGCAGCTGTCATAAATACACGCCAGTGGTCAAGCATCCCAATTTTATCATATGGCCATGGAGATATTGCCGTGGTCGTAAGTGTGGAAAATGGTCGCGAGTCACTTTTTTCAGTGCTGTTGTGACTTTGAGTGGTCATTTAGCGAAGAATGTAAGTCAAGGACTTACTGTAATCTTATGCAGAAACAATCAAGTATATTCTTGGATTTAACATATATGCATGCATGGATGGATAGACAGATAGATTAGATAGATAGATAGATAGATAGATAGATAGATAGATAGATAGATAGATAGATAGATAGATAGATAGATAGATAGATAGATAGATAGATAGATGATGGATGGAGAGGAGAGGAGAGAGATGGAATAGAGAGAGAGAAGGGATAGATAGATAGATAGATAGATAGATAGATAGATAGATAGATAGATAGATAGATAGATAGATGAGAGATAGATGAGAGATGGAATAGATATAAATAGACAGACAGATAGACAGATAGATAGATAGATAGATAGATAGATAGATAGATAGATAGATAGATAGATAGATAGATAGATAGATAAGAGGGAGAGGGAGAGAGAAAGATAGATGGAGAGGAGAGGAGAGGAGAGAGATGGAATAGAGAGAGAAGATATAGATAGATAGATAGATAGATAGATAGATAGATAGATAGATAGATAGATAGATAGATAGATATAGACACATAGATAGATAGATATAAATAGACAGCCAGATAGATAGATAGATAGATGATGGATGGAGGAGAGATGGAATAGAGAGAGAGAAGGAATAGATAGATAGATAGATAGATAGATAGATAGATAGATAGATAGATAGATAGATGAGAGATAGATGAGAGATGGAATAGATATAGAGATAGATAGATAGATAGATAGATAGATAGATAGATAGATAGATAAGAGAGGGAGAGGGAGAGAGAAAGATAGATGGAGAGGAGAG